GTTTACTTGATTTCTGAAGTATATATGCTTTTGTTCATTTGGAAGAATTTTTCAGTATACAATATGGTGGACAGGCAAATAATCATTGCATACATCTGAAAGGAGGCTGTAAATTTAGTACTCAGTAGGATTTAGATTTCCCATCACTGTCATCATCCTCACAGACACTGTAAATCAATCTGATAACCTTGTCCCAGGTGGAACCTCTGTCTCACGCCTGAAATTCTTTGAGACCTCAAGTTGTGATGTTATTTCCTCAGCATCACCGGAGAGCCCTGAGAGGATGTTATACCTATTCTCAGAGAGGATTAGGATGGGACCTCAGCATCATGTTGCCTGACACAGGTGTCCTCTATCTTCTGCTTCAGTGGACTAGGTCCTAATCTAAGAAGCTTCCTGCTCATGAATATGTAAATCAGGTGAGTGTATGGTGGTAAATACAGGCATGTCTACAACAATAACAGCATATGATCAGTGTCCTCTCCACAGTCACTGAGCACACAGGTCCTCGCCACGGGCTGGAGCTGGATCATCCTCTTCCTGGTGACAGCAGCTACAGGTAAGTGACTCAATGTTCCAGACTTGAGAACTGTTCATCCACTCAGGTGACAGTGACATCCACTCTGTTTTTCTCTCCATAGGTGTCCACTCCCAGATACAGCTGCAGCAGTCTGGGGCTGAGCTGGTGAGGCCTGGAGCCTCAGTGAAACTGTCCTGCAAGACTTCAGGCTACACCTTCACTAGCTACTATATGTACTTGGTGAAGCAGAAGCCTCGGCAGGGCCTGGAGTGGATTGGAAGAATTGATCCAGAAAATGATGAAACTAAATATGCTCAGAAGTTCCAGGGAAAAGCCACACTGACTGCAGACAAATCCTCCAGCACAGCCTACATGGAGCTCAGCAGCCTGACATCTGAGGACTCTGCAGTCTATTACTGTGCAAGATACACAGTGTTGCAACCACATCCTGAGTGTGTAAGAAACCCTGCAGGGGGGAAAACAGCCCTGGGACTGAGATTATAGAGAGGATCAGCCTGGAGATTTGCCCATAAATCATCACACTGAGTGTCCCTTTGTCACTTCCCAGACTTAGAGGGTTTTGTCAACTTTTCAAAAGGACTGCAGCCAAAGTCCGTGTGTATACTTGGGATGGGTACTGATCTGCTACCCAATGCTCAATAGATTCCCTAGGCCTCTTCACTGACACCCAGATTCAGGGGGTCTTGATCAGTCCCATGCTGGCTTCCCAGGCTAATGCCTGGGATTCAAGAGTTAACCTTTGTCTGGTCAGCTGTTTCTGGGGGTTAAACCATCCCAGTCTTAATCCCTTTGATCATCAGTCCTCCCTCTCTGTTACTGGCTTTCTTGAGTTCAGCTCAGTACTTAACTAAGGGAGTCTGCCTCTTCTTCGATCAGCCACTAAATAAAGTTTCTGTTTCCCAGACTCTCTGGCCATAGGATTGTAGGCTGGCACTCCCCAGATCTATGTCTAAAATCCATATATGAGAGAGTACATGCCATGTTTCTCTTTTTGTGACTGGGTTACCTCACTCAGGATGGTATCTTCTAGTGTCATCCATTTGCCTGCGAATCTCATGATTCCATTGTTTTTTTCTGCTGAATAGTACTCCATTGTGTAGATGTACCACATTTTCTCTATCCACTCTTCGGGTGAGGGACATCTAGGTTGCTTCCACGTTCTGGCAATTACAAATAAAGCTGCTATGAACATAGTGGAACAGACATCTTTGTTGTATGAATGGGCATCTTTTTGATATATGCCTAAGAGTGGAGTTGCTGGGTCTTGTGGTAGGTTTATTCCCATTTTTCTGAGGAATCTCCACACTGACTCCCATAGAACAATGTGAGGTGCACTCTCACCCTGAACTCTTGGGGAAGGGTCTAGGCCCTGACCTATATGAAATGACACACTATGCACACCCCCATGGAGGGCCTCACCCTCCCTGGAGAAATGAGGGGATAACGGGGGGGGAGGGCACGGGAGGAAGGGAGGGAATGGGAGAGGGACCTGGAACTGACTTGTGAAGCAACCTTGTTTCTTATCTAAATTTAAACTGGAAAATAAAATTAAAAAAAATCAAAAGGACTGCAGCAAATAAGTTAGGATGATTTCCATTGTCCTTAGACTACACCATACCTTGATCAGCTGTTTAACAGTGACTTCATCCATGTATGTTGTTCTTTTTTAAAAAAGCAAATATAGGGCAAACAGCAGCAATACATCATGATGCTCACAGCTCTTACATAGAAGGGTCTGCTATTGTTTCTGGAATAGCTGCAAATAGGCTATATATTAGATTATTCACATAAGAGTCAAATCAATAGAATGTGTGCTAATTAAAGCCTGTTTCATATTCCAATTTTGTTTGCTTAAGCAAGCAAAGGAAGTTTGTGGGAAGGGGTCACCATTTATTTTGGGGTAGTTGATACATGGATATAATGATAAGAAATCCCTCAGTTCCTGTAGAATTTCCATGAATGCATGTAAGGCAGGGAAAGGGCTTAGGACATTTGTAAGGGTGGATTAACATCCATTGTTAACAAGGAATATTAGATAAGAAGCAGCAGGGAGGGAGAGATGTGAGGGAGAGAGGGGGTAGAGAAAGACATAGACAGAGAAATAGAGAGACAGAAACATACACACACCCCCACACACATACACACACACACAATTATGAGTGGATATGCATGGGGAATATCTGGCAATAGTTTGATGGGTGATATGATAAAACATATTGCATGAAAAAAACAGTAAATTTTATAAATTTCTCCATGGTTTTATTAAAATAAAAAATCTCATGCACAAATATTAAAGAACAAAAAGGAACCTGAACTGAATCACAAGATGAACATGGTATGTACTCACTCATATGTGCATTTTAGGCATGGATTAGGAGAGTTCCAGTCTACAATACGACTGCAAGAGAGTCAGGGACACAGAACTTTTAACCAATCACTGATGGAAGCAGAGGCAGACTCCCACAGCTAAACACTGAGCTGAACACAAGGAACCCAGTGACAGGGAGGGAGGACTGAGGAGCATAGAGTCTAGACTGGGCTTGTTTAACCCCCAGAAATAGCTGACCTGAGAAAGAGGGGCTCTTGAACCCCAGACTGATGGCTGTGAATCCAGATGGGACTGATCCAGACCCCCTGAATGTGGATGTCAGTGAGGAGGCGTAGGCAATCTATGGGGCCTTTGGTAGTAGGTCAACATTTATTCCTGGCATACAAGTGGACTTTGGGTGTCCGTCTCAAACTGAGGATGCTTTCTCAGCCTGGTTTATTGAAGGAGGACCTAGGACCTGCATTGAATGAAATGACTGATTATGGATATGCCACATGGAGGACCTCACCGTCCCTGGGGAAATGAGTGGGGATTAGGGGAATGGGGATGGCAGGTTTTTTGGGAGGGCACGGAAGGAGGGAAAGAGAGGGATAGTGAGCTGTGATTGACATGTGATGCAACCGTTTTTCTAATTTCAAATTAAACTAAAGCAATAAAAGAATAAAAATAACATTGAGTTCATTTACTTTTGTCAGAGCCTGTGAAGTAGCTGAATGTGTAAAGGTGTCTCCTGGCAAACATAGCAACATCAGTTTGATTGCCTGGACACACATGATAGAATACAGGAAGAGAATTCCATAAGTTTTCCCCTGAAGGATCAGAAAAACACCTTAGTGTGTGTCTGTCCTGTTCATACCACTAAAGATAGTAAAACAGTTTTTAAAACTATTACATGGATGGAGAGAAACTCCTGAGGACCCACACACAGCTGAGAATCCATTTTCCTTGATGACTAATAGGGAAAATATGATGAGTTTTATTTGGAAGACTTCTGGAGGTTTCTGGTATATTACTGAGGGATTCCACATGTGTGTATATAGATAGAGACTGTTGGACTCACCCTGTTATTAGTTAATTAAATAAAAGAGGTCATGAAGCACAACAGAGATATATGGAAAGGTCACAAGTTGAACCAGTATGGCATAATTGATATAGATATGTTCATATTATATTTTATACATGGATTAAATTTTCAAAAACATGAAATGTAAAAATAGCAATTTTACATATTTTTCAAATGTTCATACACATGTATTTCATACACAATTATATTTTCCCATAATCACTACCCTTCATTTTTGCCCTCCTATTTTGCATTTAGTCTTCTAGACAATCACACTTGTACATCATCATTTATTTTATTCAAAGTTGTATATGACCATGCAATATCTGAAAACTATTGATATTACTGTCATATAAGGTTTGATTTCTGAGATTGGTTTAATACATTTACCTCTAGCAGTATCCATTTTCCAGTAACTGATGTAATTTCCATATTTCTTGTGGATGAAAAATTTCTGTTGTGCTGTTTAAAGTAACATCTGGATGAGATCCTCTGTTGACAGATAATGAAGCTCATTTCCAAAATTATTCATTGTGATGTTGTTGCTATAATCATTGTTGTGCTAATGGTTGCTTTGGTTAGTTTGGGAGAGTTTTTTAGTGTATGGTCTATTGTAAACTCATATATTAATTGCATATATCTGAAAGGAGGCTGTAACTTCCAAACTCAGCATGTTGTAAATTTCTCATCACTGTTTCCGTCATCACAGCCACCATCTGTAAATCAGTCTGATAGCCTTGACACTTATTGGAGTCACTGTCTCCAACCTGAAATCTATGGATATTTTGGGTCCTGATGTTACAAACTAAGCTTCTGTAGAGGGCCTAGGGAAGGATGCTATACATATCCTCAGAGAGGTTTAGGAATGGAACCTCAGGATTCTGCTCTCTAACCTAGGTCTCCTCTAGCTTCCTCTCCAGGCAGACTAGGTCCTTATGTATGAAGTACACTGTTCATGAATATGAAAATTACCTGACTCTATTATGGTAAATACAAGGACATCCACAACTCAGCACAGAATAAGGTCATTGTCTTCTCCATAGTTACAGAAGACACACATCCTCATCATGGAATGGAGGTGGACTATTCTCTTTCTTGTGTCAGTAACTACAGGTAAAGGATTTTCTAGTTCCTAAATGGAGGAAGGAACAGGGACTGAGGTGACAAAGATATACACTGCTCCTTTTTCTCCACAGGTGTGCACTCCCAGGTCCAGCTGCAACGATCTGGTCCTCAGCTGGTGAAGCCTGGGTCCTCAGTGAAGCTGTCCTGCAAGGCTTCAGGGTACACCTTCACTGAATACTCTATGGACTGGGTGAAGCAGAAGCCTGGACAAGGCCTGGAGTGGATTGGAGCTATTAATCCTGACTATGATGCTGCTGGATACAATCAGAAGTTCCAGGGCAAGGCCAAACTGACTGCAGACAAATCCTCCAGCACAGTCTACATGGAGCTCAGCAGTCTGACATCTGAGGACTCTGCCATCTATTACTGTACAAGAGACACAGTGTTGCAACCACATCCTGAGTGTGTGAGAAACCTGGCTGATCAGGAAACTGCCCTGGGACAGAGATGACAGAGAACATCATCTTGTGGACTCCCTCAGAAATAAGCAATATGAATGTGTGTATGTCTGTCTCCTCCCCAAATACCTATATTGTTTTTGTGAACTTTACAAAGGGCATCCAAGTACAAAGTGGTGTTAAGTTACTATGCTTCTAGAGTACATCATGTCTTGACAAATTCATGTCCAGGGACTGACTGCATTTAAATGATTCTTCTTTAATAAAACAATATAAAAGGGAAGACTGTGATGATGACTTATGATGAAAATAAATCTGAATTTTGAGTGATGGAAAATTTTGTAGCAAGAGCTGAGAATAAATTATAAACACATTTGACCTGTCAATTCCTAATCACCATTATATGGGCAAATTAAAAACTCCTTAATTTTTAAATCATAAGTGACCTCAAGTTATATTGTTGACTTTGGCTGTTTGATCCAGCAGAAGTTTCCATGCCTTAGAATGTAACAGATATTTATATCAAAATGCACCGTTACTTAATTATAATTCCTGTAAGATGTACAAATGTATCATTAAATTACTTTTCACACAACTCATTCATCAACATGGTCTTCCCAGTCAATGTACCCAGCTCTACAGTAGCAGGTCTTTACAGAACACGAACCTACTTTGTTAGAGCATCAACTCTTACAGTGCTTTGGAATCCTGATGGTCATCCTCAATCTATAGAGTATTTCGTTTTCAACAAATGCGTGAGTAACAGCCAGCATGGAGACCAATGAAACTTGTTTATTCCCAGTGTTTGAATCAGTGTGATATCTCATATTTCAGAATATTAATTTTGGAAGTTCCTAAAGTATATGTCATCTCCCATACTTGATATGTATACATTCATTTGAGGAATGCATTGTGACTGGCATGGATCCCCTTGGCCAATTCTATGTTAGAATTATAGAAAACTATTGTGAATCTAATTTACTACTTGACACAGCAGTAAAGTATCCTTCTATAGTCCACCAAGTTGGGCGCAGTGATGGACTAGATGGCAGGAAATCCTTCCCCTCCTGCCTCTGACTGAATGGGATTCTCTGATGTACCGGGAATGTGTCTGTTAGTGACTGTGAAAACTTGACTTCAGGTCTTAGCTGCTTTCTGCTGGAGAATCACTTTGAAGCCAACTTTAGTCACTTGCTGTATGCAAACAAGTGTGAATCAGTGTGGCAGTTCCACAGGAGGCTGGGAATAGATCTACCCAACCATCAAATTCACCACTCTTGGCCATATACTATTTACATCCTACTAGAGACACTTGCTCAGACATGGTCACTGCTGTTGTATTCATAATAGCCAAAATTAGAAACATCGTAGATACCTGTCAATACTGAAAATAGAAAAAGAAAATGTGGTAAAATCACTGTAAATGCTTAGATCTATACCCTTGACATGCCTACAAGACAGGTTGAAGAAACTAGCAGTAACATGATTCCAATGATATTCTGCTATATCCATAGGCCAGCCATCATAAGATAACTTCATGAAATATAGAGGAATACAGAGACTAACTGGAGAATGTGCCAAAGTGCGAGACAGTGGAATATGCAATGTGATGTCTCCTTCAAATCTGTCCACACAGTGCTTATGAACACGTGCTAAGGAGTATGCTCACATATTATAAATTCCAGAGGGAATGGAGGACACCAAGGAGACAAAGCTTTCCTGACAGAACAGGGTTGATGTTGATATGAACTCACTGATGTTGTTACTTAAGAAAAGTGGCATTCGTAAGAAAGACAGCATGCAACAGGGTTCAAGGCGAGGATTTTATTAAAGAAAGAAATCATTAAAAAGGCGAAAGAAAATGGGAGACAGGCCATGAATACAGGAACAGCAGTAAATAGGAGAAATGAAAGAGGGTGGATTAAAGAGAGGGAACTGACAGAGAGAAGGAGAGAAAGCAATAGAGAGAAGGATGGGAGGTGGACAGGGCCCTTTTAACGGGGAACATAGTCAATGTGCATAGTTACTGCTCTTAATGGATGCAGTTGAGGGTGTTTCCTGTCAGAACCCCAAGGACAGACCAGTACTGATGCTGAATGCTAACATCTGAGACTCTGTGACAGGAGAGTCTAAACCAGATGGAGTCCCAAAGCTTAGCTTGGAAGTGGACACAAGGCACTGGCTATAATCCAGAAGCTATCTTCAAGTGTTAGCTTGCGCAAAAAGACAAAATATTTTTTTATGGATGGTGTCTCACTTGGTATATAAACTACTCTTAAGGAAAGTCCTGTCCATAGAATAGATGGCTGACAGATAATGATCTCATTTATGTTCCTGGATATCCTTTGTCTCATAATGTTTCTCAGGATTTTTCCTCTGACAAGATTTATATGTATGATTTGGTTTCTATTTCTGTATTTTATTGGATCTTTTCATGTCCAAACTTGGCACTCTGTGTATAATTTTTCCTATGCTTTTTTGGTAACTTTTACTTTGATTTTTAATTCTGTTTAAGTTTGATGTATCTACTTTATCTCATTGCTTCAGGTTCTTTTGCATTTTCTAATGAAAGATAAAAGTGGAGTATATTTGTATGGGAAAAGAGTTGGGTTATGGTTGCAGGATTTGGGTGTAGTTATACAGTAAGTATATTGCACCCAGACTTTTCATTAAATGGTTAAGAACCACACAACCACTTTTAGATTTTAGAATTTCAGCATAATGGGGGAGAATGCTGATATTTTATCATGAGACATTCACTTTCTGTCCATCGGCCGGATGATGTTTGCTGTTCACATTCTAGATACCACCTCTGGTAGCAGACTTTACACATCAACTAAATGCATGTTTAGTGGCTGCTCTAATCTATGCATATCTTGAATCCAATTGCTTACATCATCAACATATAACATGCTCCCCTCAAAGGAATTTCAGAACTGTACCATCATTTTCAGTCCAAGTGCTTGAGAATTTCTGAAGATGAATTGGTAGTACAGGTTATCTAAACACATGTTCTATATAAAGTGTTTCCACCTCACATGTCACAGTGATGAACAGGAAGACTGACACATGTCTGCAGCACTGACTGGAAATATATTAAATAGACCCTTATGTTAATTATATCTGAGTTTTGGAATTCTGAATGTTATTAATTAGTTAAGAGAAATGGTCTGAGTGCATGAGTTAATCTGATACAACTTTATAGTAGTTTTTTTCAAATTTTAAGCCCTTATTGGCAGGGAGAGCTAATGTACATTTATATGTGGTTTTGTTATATTAAGTTAAATCCCTACATTTTAATTTTTGTACTGCATAGTCCATACTTGTCCTCATGTTTTCTTTTGCCATGGAACCTGAAACATTTCAGGTATATCTGAAAAATTTGGGAAATATGTCTATATCCACTGAAGGTCATATCATGGAATTCAGAAAGAAGACCACACTATTATGCCCTCCATGAAGAAGGCATCTGAAACACCACATCAGTGTGTCTGCTTAGAAATGAAGTTCTCTCTTCAGATAATATATTGCCTGCCTTCCATATATCCATGAATCAGAGGTCCGTGCATCTCTGACTCTCTGTCCCCTTCATCCAAACTTGACGATTTTGTTTCTGTATCATCCAAACCAGGATCATTTCCATTTGATCACCAGACTTGACTTTGTTTACTTTCCTTGATCCTCAGTGCACAGCCTCACCCTTAATTATTTTAACACATAGCCAATATGAGATGACTGCAGCAATCCTTTGATAATCAACACCCTCTTCTCCAGTTCTTGAGGCTGAACTTCACAATAAGCTCTGAAGGAAGTGAAATGAACATACTTGCTTAAAGGTACAAAACACAATGAAGCATCATAAACAACCATAAACCAAGACCCATCACCAAGAAACCAGTTCCCTCTTGAGGGAATTCAAAATTTCAGAAATGGCTGAAATATCTCAGAAAGAATTGGAAGTCTTACTATTCAAAAGAACTAATAACCACAGAGTTAATTAACAGACACCATAATAACAAAAATCTATGTGGGGCCTTGACAGGATGACCTCCAAAATGAGTGAAACATTTAATAAATGTATTAATCAATTTAGTAAAGCTCAAAATTTGGAGGGAGGGCAGCAAGGAGATTGAACAGTGAAAAATCATTATGCAAAAATGCTTGAAATGAAGGAGATAGTCAGCCAAATAAAAACCACAGCAGAGATCATCTTTAACATTGAAAACCATGCAGAACGAATTTCATTGATGTAAGATGAAGTTAAATAAATAATATGAACATTTATAAAGAAAAAACTAAGTAGCATGTAGTGGTTGTGTCTGTACCTGAAACCACACCCAAAGGATGTGACCCCCACTATAAGTTCACTGGCAAGTCCAGATGTAACTACAGTAGCATGAGTGATATTTCCAAGAAGCAGAACACTTCTCAAATTTACACAAAGACGTAGGCTTCCAAATACAAGAGGTATGTTGAACTCCAAACATACATAATCATGGCATATTACAACCAGGGTGCCAAATATACAAAGTAATGAAACAATACTAAACAATACCAAAAGAAGTATGAAAAAAAGAAAACAACTCTCAAAGGCAGAAATATCAGAATACCCTAGAATTTTCATCAGCAACCATGAAGGCCAGAAGGGTATGGAATACAATTTTTCAAGCTCTGAAAGCAAGCAACGCTGGGCCAAGAATTGTATAACCTGCTAAGGTATCTGTGGTGACATCCTCCTCCACACCTGTATCACTGACCATGGCCCTTTAGGCATGGTCACGGGTGTGGATTTGAACGGTGATAAGGATTAGCTTTAGGGCTGGGAGATCTCTCGATTTCTGCTCGGGTCCTGGAGAAAATCTGTGTGACAGGGTCACCATCCTTGGATTGGGAACCTGCGGCAGTAATTTGTTTCTTGTGAGAGTGCGTTCTCCCTGAACAAGCTTCACTTCACCAGTACTGAGTCTCGTGAATCTTGATTCCTATGTGATAGGTATCTTTCAATACTGACAGAGAAATTAATTTTAAGACACAAACACAAACAAGGCATCAT